AGCTTGTGCTGCAATGCAAATCATCTCTATGTAAATCTGTGTACGGGTTACAGCTGATGATGCATGTAAAACGTTACAGTGTTTAGGATATTTTCTCATGTTATGAGTCAAAAACATGTTTCATGATTCGTGTGTCTGAATCCACAGGCTTTCTGATTATTCAACTGAGGATTCAGTTACATCAATGAGAGAAACAAGTATGTCACTCTGATCTCCATGAGGGGGCAAAGGTCGTTTCAGAGGTCACAGATCATCAAAACTTATTAAAATTACATTAACAATTAAAAATGCATTATTAATTTAGAACCCCTTAAATTTAAAATTTTTTAATACAAATGTGACCAATAATTTTTTTTATTTTTTTTGAGTGTATAATAATATCTTTATTAACTTGAGATGAAAAAGCTACTTGAGAAATTGCTCAAGAACATTTTTATGTTGCTGGTGATTCACAATGACTTTATGACTGTATAATAAGAAATGAGTGTAGTGTGCAAAAGAAAAAAACATATTGCACCATTATTGTTTGTTTGATTTTAAATCAATTACATACTTGCTAGTTTTGGTTATTGGGGGGTGGGGGGTATATCCCCCATAAACTGCATATTTACCATATTTCAAAGTACATATAAAATATACTGAAGTCCCACTTAAGTGTTAAAGTTCAACTAATTGCATTTAATGTCATTTTAAACTGTACTATATTTGAAATCAATTATAAATAATATGCATTGCGGTGGTCGAAAACATTACATTTAAGTCACATTAAAGTGTATTGTTAACTGACATTAAAGTATATTTTAGTTAACATTAATTGCTTGTCAGTACATTAGTAGTACACTTTAACCATATTCTAAAGACACTAGAAGCAATTATGAAAGTACATATAAAGATGTACTACAAAGTCCAACTTAAGTGGTTTTAAAAAATCACTCAATAGTTCAACTTATTGCATTTAATATAACTTTAAAACGTGATACATTTGAAATTAATTACAAATACAATGTTCTTAAGCGGCGAAAACATTCCATTTAATTTGCACTTACATGTGTTCTTTTAAAGTATATTTTTTATGCAATAAGTACACTTTATAAAAGTATACTTAAGTGCACTTTTTTTTCACAAGGGTAAGCAGCACTCATTGCACCGTCCCAGCGTCAATCCTTTTGTCATCCCTCCACCTCCCCATCTCCTCCTCTATTTCTGTTACTCTCCCTCTAGGTACCGCAATGGACTGGATGGGCAGGCGAACTCATAAAACTGAATTTTGAGCACAATGTGTAGTTCTGTGTTTGGTCTCTGTGTGTCAGTAGTAAGTCATAGTGTTTGAGCAGCTGCAGCATCAGTTCATCACTGTGACTCTGACTGACGGAGGTTTTTGTACCACTCTTTATCACTGTGTGAATATATATATACTGTTTATGTAGTGGAAACTCTGACAGTAATAATGTCCAGCATCTTCAGTCTGGACTCCACTGATGGCCAGAGTGAAATCAGTCTTAGATCCACTGCCACTGAATCTAGATGGAGTTCCTGACTGGAGTACGTTTGCTTTATAAATCAGGAGTTTAGGAGCTTCTCCAGGTTTCTGTAAGTACCAGGATAGAGGCTGATAACCCCAACTCTGGTAAACTTCAGGGCTGGTTTTACAGGACATAGTAACTGTGTCTCCTGGTTGAACAGGTTTGACTGCAGGCGTCTGAGTGACTGTCACTCCACCTGCTGAGTCTATATCGAGAAAAATGAATAAACATTCAGAATTAAATATCTGTTGGAGGACAGTATTTCTAGTGCAGATGATCAGTTAGAATAGAGTGTTTATCTCTTCACCTGTGAAACAGTAGCTAGTGAAGATCCAGATGAAGATGGTGATGAAGCTCATGGTTGCTGTTGGTTCAGATTCTAAATATCTGTTGGAGGACAGTATTTCTAGTGCAGATGATCAGTTAGAATAGAGTGTTTATCTCTTCACCTGTGAAGCAGTAGCTAGTGAAGATCCAGATGAAGATGGTGATGAAGCTCATGGTTGCTGTTGGTTCAGATTCTCAGAGTTCAAACTCACAGAGCTATAAAACCTCCTGAAGCTTGTGCTGCAATGCAAATCATCTCTATGTAAATCTGTGTACGAGTTACAGCTGATGATATACATGAAACATAACAGTGTTTAGGACCTTTTTCAAAAACACTTATTCACGTCTGAAGCTACAGACTTTCTGATGGTTCAAATGATTAGAAGTTAGTTTGTGTTCATCTGAGTGTGACGGAGGTTTTTGTGCGACGCTTTCATGAAGCACTGTGCTACACTTTTGGTGGAGGAACCAAAATGATGATCAATAAGATCAGTAAATTCTATCATAAAAATGTATGATATTTTAATTTGCTTTATTTAATTAAGAAAACATTTGGCAACAATTATTAGAGATTGTTATCGAAGTTAAATAAAAATAAAGTTAGAATGGTTTATTCATTAATTGCATTTCATGATGAATTTAATCAATTCATAGTTAAAAGTAGATTTTGTTTGCTAATTTACAACTATGTATTAATATTCAGTGATATTTCATGGCATTTCTTTTTTTCCATTTAAATTCATATTTCATCTTTACATGAATAATTTCACATCTTATTATTGCTAACATTTCATTGCATTTTAATTCATTGATTGAAATATTTTGATATATATTCAATTATTCTGTAATATAATTGTGCCCATAATTCTAGATAAAGTTAACAATTAAGAGTTTTTGAAATGCAAGGGACAAAAGTTTGATAATATGAGCAAAATTATTATTAATAAATTTAGTTACTGAAATTTTTACAAATTAATATTTTAAACATACATTTCCATATAATTATGATTGTGAGGGTCTGATATGATCTTTTAAAAATACAATTCATATAATATTAATTCGTTTTTTTTATTTATTTTTTTATAATCATGAATTTGCATATGGGCAATATTTTTAAAATCAGTTTGAGAATAATTTAAAGTGTAACTCATTAATTCAGAAAATAGATCATTATTATAATGTTTTAGTGTCAGAGCAGCTGCAGCATCAGTTCATCACTGTGACTCTGACTGACGGAGGTTTTTGTACCACTCTTTATCACTGTGTGAACACATAACCACTGTGTGCACTCTGACAGTAATAATGTCCAGCATCTTCAGTCTGGACTCCACTGATGGTCAGAGTGAAATCAGTCCCAGATCCACTGCCACTGAATCTAGATGGAGTTCCTGACTGACGGCTGCTTGTTCTATAAATCAGGAGTTTAGGAGCTTCTCCAGGTTTCTGTAAGTACCAGGACACACAGGGGGGGCTGCAGGCTGGAGCAGAACTAAACTTACAGCTCATCTCTACATTTTCTCGTGGTGTGACAGTTTTCACTGAAGGAGTCTGAGTGACTGTGATCTGAGCTTTACACCCTGAGAAACAAACATTTATTAGTCCATAAAAATATATTATTTGACATATAATAAAATTATTTAATTAACATTATTTAAAATATACACTATTCACCTTGTAGTATAAAGCAGTATGAAAGTGTCCAGATGAAGATGATGATGAAGGTCATGTTGATGAAGATTGTTGTGTGTGTCAGTGATGAAGTGTTAAACTCACAGCACTATAAACACTCTCAGAGCACTGAAGCATCTGATCAATATGCAAACACACTCCACATCATTTACCTCAAGACAGCAGATACATTTTGCTATTTTATTTGTTCAGTATCTTTGCTAATAAATTTCCATTTAATGTTTTTAGAAACAGGCATTTATAATTTGCTTCATGTTATTTTGGGTCAAGCTTCTTCCTCCAAACACTGTTTAATGTTTCATTCAGACTTTGATGCTGAGAGCATTTAATATCTGTTGTGCTGATTTGATATCATCCATGATACTGTATAACAGGTCAAAGGTCATCTAATAGAGAATGACCATCTAAATCTTACTAAAGATTTCATTATAAAGCAGGTAAGTAGAATTAGCAGAGTTTAAAATCACATGTGTACCGAAAATGCAATGAATGTATTTTAGGACTGTTTATGAAACAAATGATTTCAGCCTTCATGCAATAATACTGTTTTTTTTTTAAAGATTAAAAAAAGTGCATGTCTGCTGTTGAGTTTCATATCAGTGTGTGTGAGTGTCGTGGAGTTTGTGTTCATCTGAGTGTGACGGAGGTTTTTGTACGACACTTTCACTAGAATGAAGCACTGTGGTGGACTTTTGGTGCAGGAACTGAACTGACCATCAGAAGTAAGTCTTTCTTAAATTATTTGATATAAATATATAATGTGTGTGTTTTTTTTAAAACAAGGTTTAAGGTTACTCAGGAATATTTGGCAACAATATTCTTAATTTATTACAAAAATATATTATTAAAAAGCTGTACTTTTATTTCATAAGTTTCAGTCTATTTTATTGATTGATTGCACAATCAAAAATGCCTATATTATGAATAAGTCATATTTGGTGATATTCCATGTTTTTCACATTTTAAACCATAGCTCATATTTGCACTTAATGTTTTACATTAGTAATTTCACACCTAATGTTAACTTTTCAATATTTTTTAATTAATTACAATATTTTAATATATTTAATTTTGCGCATGACACAAAAGCTGGATAATATAGACAGAATATTTAATTTCATTGGTGTCATCATCAGGCAAAAAAGAAATTCAGTTGATAAGCATGTTAAATAAATAACTTAAAATTATGTTTATGAAAAAAATGGCCTGAACGATGACTATTTTCAAAATACAAGTAATATATTGAAATAATCAATTATAAAACATTGCAACAAAATGATCCGTTTGCATTTGGAGAGAGACGTTTTATAAAATCAGTTTAAACATTTTACTTAATTGAGAAAGTAACAAATTAGCATACATTTTACAGTATATCATGTTTGCTTCAGAGAAGTGATATATATAGTAATACAGTGTACAGGATCTTATGCTTGATATACTGTAATAAATAAATAAATATGTAAAATTTACAGTAAAAATGGCAGCTGTGTTTGCCAGACTTGTTCCTTTTTACTTAATAGTTTTTCCATCGTATATAGTAGAGAACTTACTGTTAACCAATTAACAAGTTTTTACTGTAGCACTTTTACAGTCTTTTACCATTAAAATTACGATCATTTTTTACAGTCTCCATTTTATAAGAGTAAATAATAATTTAGCTAATGAAGAATATTTTCAAACATAACTCAGGATGTTTGTGGAACATGAATGAAAGCAGAGATGTGGAATTACAGTAAAATGATGAAGTGATTGTGATTTGGGCTGCATTATCACGTCTGCTCCAGTGAAGATTGTAGCTGCAGATGTGAAGAAGTGAGTGTTGTGTGTGTTTGTGTGTTTCAGCTGGTCCCGCAGTGAAGCCCTCCGTGTCTCTGCTGCCTCCCTCTTCTCTGCAGATCTCTGGAGACTCAGCCGCACTGCTCTGCCTGCTCAGCTCTTACTCTCCACAGGGGGCGCAGGTGAGCTGGACGCTGGACGGGTCAGAGGTCACCGAGGGGGTTCAGACCAGCGCAGAGAGCGAGCGGGACGGACGCTACAGCCGCAGCAGCGTCCTGAGCCTCAGCAAAGCACGCTGGGAAGACGGCGAGCGCTTCGTCTGCAGAGTAACACATGACGGAGCTGATCACGAGACCTCGTTCCTCAAGAGCTCCACAAACAAGAAATTATGGTGGAAATGATACTTTTCAACGAAATTAAAACGCCGGTAGTGAGCGTTTAATGAGTGAGTCATTGAGTTGTTCATTCAACCGATTCGTTCAAAACACGGAATCAATCAGCAATGAATCGGCTGGTTGCTGTGAGGTGCGCTGTTTCCGCCTAAAATGTAAGTGACCTAATATTATTGTATTTGCTTATTGAACTGTTTATAGAACTATTAAACAGTCTTGTAATGGTGAAAACGTTGTGTGATGTTGCCTAACTAACTGTATTTTAAATATAAAAACTTTCCATTTTGAATTGTTACCTCAGGATGCTGAGTTTCTTAGTGTTGCGCTTGATTTCTCCTGGAGAGACTGCGGGAGCCTCGCCTCAGCAGCGCAACCTTATACTGTCAATAGATGCATTAGATACAGTAGCTATATCCAATATTCGCCACTTAATCATGTTACTTGGCGTTAATGAAGCATTAATGTCGAGCCCTGGAGACGGCTCTATGTGCCGGGGCTCAACCCCAGACGGCCCCGGCCCAATTTAAACCCTGGATATGAGTGTAGGTTAATGAACAAAATTTAAAACAACAAAATGTTGTGGCATGTGGCACTATTGTCTAATTGATCAGCTTACACCCTGTGTTTTCTCTGATTCTGAGTCAAACCCGTCTGTCACAGGACAGATCACAGTCTAATAGAGCTGATTTGACTCCTAACTCAGTTTTGATGTGCTGGACTGCAGGGTGCAGGACTACTGAGTTTACAGCTCATCTCTACATTTTCTCATGGTGTGACAGTTTTCACTGAAGGAGTCTGAGTGCCTGTGATCTGAGCTTTACACCCTGAAAAACAAACTATTTATTAGTCCATAAAAATATATTATTTGACATATAATAAAATTATTTAATTAATATTATTTCAAATATACACTATTCACCTTGTAGTATAAAGCAATATGAAAGTGTCCAGATGATGATGAAGGTCATGTTGATGAAGATTGTTGTGTGAGTCAGGGATGAAGTGTTAAACTCACAGC